GATGGTGGATTTTTTCTTTGTTTTTCTGGTTACGACACTTCAGGATTGTAATCTTGTAATTTTTTCCTGGTGGATTTTTTCTTTGTTTTCCTGGATACGACACTTCAGGATTGTAATCTTGTAATTTTTTCCTGCTCTATCTACATGAACTTCGCACTGTCTGGTTGTGGGTCGTTAAAAAAAAGTTGTGGTCGGCTAGTGGCATGGCGTGACGGTGAGCGAGGTCGATGTGTATCCTGGGTCATGTATTTCAATAGATTTGGGGATCAAACTATTTCAGTTCCTGGTTATGTGCTGTCGAATTATAACCTTGCTTTTGTCACGTCCCAAAATGACCTTAAAATATATCCTGTAAATTATGCCTAGAATAATTAAAATCCGTGTGAAAGCCTCCAACAATTAAAATGTGCAAAGTAAAAGTCAAATAAGGCTTAGGGGATTTTTTTATATTTCCTAAAGGCCTAAAATGTGTAAATAAATTTTAGTGGAATTTTCAGAGCACAAATAATAATTATTAAGAAATAAACCAAGTTGAAAAAGGTTTTATAAAAAGAAAAACCCTAAAAACCCTCCCTCCCTCTCTTGGGCCGGCTCGGCCCACTCTCCTCCCCCTCTCTCCTCTTCCCCCGCGGCCCACTCGGCCCCTCCCCGCGCGCGCGCCGCTGACGGGCGGGCCCGCCCGCCACCCTCGCTGATGGGTGGGGCCCACCCGTCATCTCCTTCCTCCTGCCGCTCCCGCCGCCTCGCCCGCGCCTAGCGCCGCCGCAACCGCCGAATCCGCCGCACCCCGCCGTCCCCGCGTGCAATAAAGTGAGGGGAAATACTCCCCGTGATCCCCTCTCCCTTTCCCCCCATTTTTCCCTCTCTCTCTCGCATTCAAACGGCCGGATTTGCTCCCGCAAATCTCGCCGGCGCCATTGATGGCGGCCGGACCTCCCGGCCGGTTTCCTTCCTCTCCCGGCCGCCCTCTCCCCCTTCCAATCCTATTTAAACCCTCCCCGCGCCTCCCTCGCCCGTTTCCGCCCCTTGCCGCACCGTCTCCTCGCCGGAATCGAGCTCGCGCCGTCGCCCTCTCTCTCCTCCGTCGCTGACGACCTTCGGCCGGCTCTCTCCGCTCGCCGGGACCGTTTCCCGCCCCGGCGTCGCCTCCTCCGGCTTCGCCGCACCGTCGCCGTCCCCGTCCACCCCCTCGTCGAGCTCGCCGACCGCCGAAGCGCCGCCGTCCCCGTCGACCCGAGCCGCGCCGCCGCCTTCCTCCTCTCCGGCCGCCTTTTTCGTCGTCGCCGTCGACCTAGGGTGAGCCGTGGACCGCCACCTCGTTTCCCCCTTTCCCTTCCCTCTCTCGGCCGCCGCTCCGCCGTGCCTATGGCCGCCGCCGACGACCATAGGGGCGCGGGCGCGCCGCCTCCCGCCGGCCGCGCCGACGTGGCCGCCTTCGGGCGCGCCGAGCGGCTGCCGCGTGGGGCCCGGCCGTCAGCCGCCCGCGCCCTCGGGTGCGGCTGACGCTTGGGGCCCACGGCGCCGGCCGGTGTGAGCCTGGGTGCACCCGGTCCACCGTGGACCGTGAGGCTGCCGCGTGGGCCCCACTCCCGTGGACTCGGTCCGCGCGCCCTCTCCCCTCGGCTGACGCAATAAACCATTTTTAAATTAAAATTTAAATGAAGAAATTCGTAAATATTCATTTAAAGAGCATATAAACTTCAAATGGCCATAACTTGGCCATTTGAACTCGGAATTGGACCGTTCAAGTCTCTAATTTTCCCTTAAGAAGTCAAGAACCCATTTTTGTGCTTTGTTCCTGCTTGTTATATGGAGTTTATTAGAGTAAAAGCCTTTTTCCTTTCTGCTAGTCGTGTAGACGCTGCAGCTTCGGAAGATCCGCTCTACGTGGAGGTTGAAGCCGACGTGTGGGAAAGCGAGCAAGGCAAGTCACATCATCCTTGAACATATTGAATCCCAGTTTATAAAATTATTTTGATTTAAATTATTGCATTATCGCTTTATTTAAATTCCCGCGTTATCATTGTTTTATTTAGCCATGCCTATTTGCCTTTGTTATGACCTTATTATTATTGCTATTGTTATTATTACCTTGTTCACCCTAGAATAAACAAAACCCCAGCTAGTGGGTACTCTATTTATGGTACCACTAGTATGAATTTAAGTAGATGCTTCGCTGCTTAATTAGGCAACATTAGGTGGTTTTACAACTCTAGACTTTGGGAATATTCATATCACCTGGACACTATGGAATGGTTGGATTATTGTGGAATTGGACTCACACCTCCCCCTCTATTCAAAATCCTCAAAATGGTTTTAGGCTGGGCTCGGGGTGCATGGTTTTGATAGTAGCACCTCGGCCACATAAGGACCGGTCTTCGGGCCTCTGTTGCAAAGCACTACCGTACTTCCACATGTCTAGTGGGTAAGGCTTAGTTTGTGGCTCAGTCTGGTTATAAACAAAAGTACACGGATGGAGATGGATGAAGTCGGGGGTCGATGGACATCTCTAGGGCAAATGAAGGCTACACGAGCTGCGGCCCGGTAGTCGAGATGTCATGGCACAGGGCTGGTGTCCTGCTGCTAGGGGCTCAGTCCTGCCTACCTGTCCCGGAGGTTCTGGCCGTAGGTGGGGTTGGGTCGGTACTCTTGTCTATGGCTAGGATGGGTTGGAAACTATGTCATGTCTTCCGTCCGTATGCCGTGGTGGTATGTGGCACGTGGTTACACGTGAGGAAGACATATCTTGTGGGTAAAGATGTACACCTCTGATCAGAGTATAACCTATTCGAATAGCCGCGCCCTCGGTTATGGGCAAGCCTAGCAATGTACCCAAGTTAGTGTTTTAATTCTTAAAACCTGCTTAACAACTAAAATGTGGAATGGTTGGCCTGGGTTGGCTTGGGACGAGCTGGGACCCAGGGTCGGGTTGCCAGTTCGGTCTGAATCATCGTAGGCCTTGGGTTAAGGCAGGTTCATGTGGGTTCATGGCCTTGATTAATAATCTTGTATAGCTCTAGGATCGTGTTTACCAAATCGCTTTGGGCAACTAAGTGACTTTTAAATACTGTTTACTGCAAAACTTAACCCCTATATTATAACTCCCTTGTACTCCCTTGCATTTATTCTGCACTTGTGGGTGTGTCTTGTTGAGTACGGTGGTTGTACTCAGTCTTGCTCAATTTTTCCCAAACCCAGAAGAGGAGTTCCTGGAAGATGAAGGCTTTGGTGTCTAGCTCGTGCCTGCCGTCATGCGCCTGTGGTCATCGCCCTAGTCTTCTGCTGTTTTTCGTTTGTCTCTTGTGTGCTGGGCCTTCGCCGCCCATGTAATAAATTATCTAGTTACGCTTCCGCTTGTTAAACTCTGTATTGTATCAACTTTTGGTGTAACTTGCCTCCTGGGACAAGGAATAATACACGCACGTAAGGAACGCCCGTTGGGTTATTTCCGGTCGTGACAGCTTTTTATGTACTTAGAAATTAAATTGTTAATTCATGAGTTATCGTGTATTTTTGAGAGTTAATATTTTGTATGTCGTGTTTAAATGTGGATTACTAAGAGCCTGTTTGGTTGGTGCCCTCACCTCCGTGCCTGAGAAATTTGTAAGCCTGAGTGGCATTCAAGTTTGTAATGTAGGCTACCTGGTCAGGCAGCTTGAGCCTGTGCTTGTTTGGTTGTCACTTGTGCCTGAGAAAAAAAATTCAATTAGATGTTTGATTATTATGCCGCTAAGTCAAGTATTAATATCCGACACAAATTTTTGCATTTAATTGCATCTGACCTACAACCAAATTCATCTAGTGCAACAGATCCCTACACAAATCAATCATAAAACAAAGAAAGGAAAAAATAATCTAAAAACAAGGGGGAACAAACAAGGGAAAAAGGAAAAAAAAGAAAGCAAAGATTGCACCCAGATTGTAAAGTCGATCTGCTTACTCAACCACGGGCGGAAGAAATCCTTGCCTGACGACACGATGCCTCCGCACGACGGCGGCACTGCTTTGCGTAGACACCAGGATCAACAAGGAAATCATCAAGAAGAGAAAAAAGAGAGAAGAACAGGAGCAAAGAGATCCCCAGATCCATGTCGCATCCATCAGAATAGAATTGCAAAATCCATGCATCCATCATAGAAGAGCATCTGCATGTGAAGCATGACGCAGCACTCCGGAGGGGTCTTCGTGTGGCTGCGATGGCTTCGTGCGACGGCAACGGCGGCGGCCTCGGCAGCTTCGTGTGAAGTTATCACGGCGGGGATGAGGGGATTATGGTGCTAATGTGTAGCGCGCTGCTGCGTCTGAAGCCTAGGCGACCGATTTTGGTCGTCTGGCTCAGGCTAATTCCGCGCCTGAGTTACATCAGGCCAGGCGAGGTGGAAGGAGCCTTAGGGTAGCAACCAAACACTCACAAATTAGTCTTAGGCATGTCTCCAGCCAGGCAACTTGTTGTCAGGGCAGCAACCAAACAAGCTCTAAACTACTCAAGCAAAGCAAAAGTGGCAACATGATGCAATACAAGGATTACATGTGCAAATTATATATATATATATATATATATATATATATATATATAGATACAATCCCTAGGGTGTTAGATCACATTGTCATCAAAGAGCTCCTCGACGTATCATGGAGAAGGAAGTATGCATACGTTTGTTTGCTTACTAAAAACAAAGGGCCTAAGGATCGCCAACCAGCGCCAATGATGGTTGTGTGTGTTTACGTGGATAGATCAAAAACCACTTTTGTGCTAGGGGAAGAACTCGATTATCCGTGCACTTACGGATAAAAACAAAAAGCGTAAGGATCTTTTACATCAACCGATAGGTTGCATGGATAAAAACATAAAGCGTAAGGATCCTTTACACCAGCCGATAAGGTGCTAGCTTAGAGATGTGTGTGTGTTGGAGGACCACAACCTCCTCTAGGATAAGGGAAGGAACAAATAGGAGATGAATGATTTAAGACTACCACCCCGTTCATACTCATAAAATAGAAAAAAATTGCCCCAAAAAGAAAAGAAAAGGCCCTTGTTCATTATGAAATTATTTATGACAGAAAAAATGGTGTGAGGCAGGCGGACCCAAAAGTGAGGCATGGCGCTGCATTTGATAGCAGAGGCATGAGTTCCGGAGGTGGGGGTTCTCTTTCGGTTACCCTATTTGGGTTGTCGAGTTTTGGAGTTTGGAGGGGTGAAGAGGAAACTTTCCGTTTTAGGCGCCGTCTTCCTCCGCTCTTTGCAATGCCCCGGCAGCGTCCCAAGAAGGGGGAGCGCCGGATCGACGCCGCCATCGACCACTTCACCCCCATGGGCTACGCCACCGCCGACGTCCGTGCCGTCGTCAAGGAACTCCTCCAGGTCGTCAGCTCAATCCCTCCTCCCTCCTGATCTCTCCGTCACCACAGGCCCGGGGTTTCTTTCCTCTTTTCTTTTTTTGTTCGATTGTTCTTGGGACCAAGAACCGCGGAAATGGTGATCAAAATTCCACATTTGCTGTGTTCTTGGAGGTGTCCAGATGCAACAAATTAAAGCTCGCGCCTTTCCTTGCTTCTAGGCCCTGTTGATCGATCGACAAGCTAGCTTAGCATTCTTGGTGATTTCTGTTCGTGTGTCGTGGTGTGAGCAGGTGTACGGGGGGAACGACGGGTGGCCGTTCCTGGAGGAAGACTCGTACCGCGTCGTGCAGGAGGCGCTCTTCGAGAAGCAGGAGCAGGAGGATCACCAACAGCAGCCTCACCCTCATCCACAGGTGCTGCTGCTGCTTTACTTCCTTCTACTATTCATCTCTCTCTTGATGATCATCCTATTCATTCATGTCCTCTATTTCCACTTCTGGCTGTCAACTATTTTTATATTTGCTACTACTTACGACTACCAAAGAATTTCTTCTTTTTTAATACATTACAATGTCCGCGTACTCATCAATACATATATGCAACAATCCACATTCATCAAAAAACTTTATTTTTCTGCTCTACCAATAGTAACATTATATCCAGCAAGTTCATCTTCAATTCTTAACATTATCCAACTATTCCTGTTCTAAAAAACCGGTATATCCTGTTGCAATTTCTGAAAAAAAAAAGGCAAGGGGAATCCAACCTAATTAGTGCTTTGCACCCAAATTTCCAATAATATATAGGTGGTTTTACACCTTGTTCTAAATCGGTTTTGTTTAGTAGTTTTGATGGTAACAGTAATACTATGACATGGGCACAATGTATCTGTTTGATTCAAGGGTTGATTGGATCCATGCCATTATAAATATGTCGATTCAGAAAAATGCCACGACCACTATGATCCTACAGCCACTACAATTTATCTATTTGTAGTTGTGCTACCGAAATTCTACAAAATTGGAACTGTACAATCGCTGTCACGTTTTCCATCCATCTCTTCCTTTTTTTTTCCGTTTTCTTTCCTTCTTTCTCCCATCGTCTTCCCGCACCGATGAGTGGCGGGACCGGTAAGCGACAGGGTGTGAGGCGGGACCGCAGCAGGGCATGAGGCGGCAAGGGCGGATATAGTCATAGGTGATGCAGCAGTCCCACTCCTTGCACGCTCGAGCATGGTGGCGACGAACTCGGTATGCAGCTTCACGTCGAAGAGGGAGCCGAAGTAGATGAGCGCAAGTAGATCCTCAACAGAGGAATTAGCGCCGGAGGAGGAAGGAAGGCGCGACGGTGGATGGGGAAGGGGCGGGGTGGGAGGAGAGCTCCTCGGCGAGTGCGGCGGCGAGCGGGGTGCGCATCCACTCGTCAATGAGCATGACGACAACGGGCTTGGATCAGAGCACCTCCTCATGCTCCTTGTTCAGCTTCCTCCCGTTGGTGAGCGATTCCTCCATTTGGAGGATCTTTTTGTGCTTCTTCCACAGTGCGTGGAGCCGTTTTGAGACAACACTAAGGATTGGCCCGTCGATGGCCTCAGCCGCCGCAGCCACCACGGCAGGGGCCGAGGAGGAGCTGGTGGAAGAGGTAGCCATGGGTAGGGTTTTGGGATTTGAGCTTGGAGATGGAACGACGAGGGTAGGGAAGAAGGGCAATCGGCTGAGGCCATGGGGTCCACGCGGAGCTCCATCGCCGGTGGTGTCGCCTCGCCTCAACTCCATCCAGATCTGGTGAGAGGGATAGATTCTCTCCTACCCTTTCCCCTTCCCTTTTTGCCACCGCCACCACCGAACCGCCGAGGTCCCGCCGTCGCTCGTAGGTCCCACCGCCACTCGCGGCTCGTCAGTGCAGGAAGAAGACGGGAGAACGAAGGAAGAAAATGGAAAATAAGAAGAGATGGATGTAAAACGTGAAGGCAGTGGCACCGTTCCAAATTTGTAAAATTTCAGTGGCACGGCTACGACTAGACGAATTGTAGTGGTATTTTTCTGAATCAACATATTTGTAGTGGCATGGATCCAATTAACCCTTGATTCAATCATTATTACAGTGACCAAGTTTTAGTAGATGATTTGAGGTCTCCTAGTTATTGAACATCATGAATTTCACTTCGAATTCTGGGCCTCGATGAGCTTGATCTGTATTTTTTTAAAAAAAAAATTGCTTCATAGCTGCACCTGCTGCTGCCATTTTTTTGTTCTCAGAACATGCCCCTTTCTCTGTTGCAACTTGCAAACATAGATCGTTCAGGCTCTTCATTTTCCAGACCCACCCTTAGTTTTTCAGTCACCCACTGCTGCCAAAGACATCTAGTTCTCAGTGTGAAGTGCCTTATTTGATAATTTGAGAACTAATCATTACGATTTGATATGACGTTCTTCCAGTTCGAATTAGGTGCTGATACAACTCGATTTGTAGCTCTAGACTGAAAATTGCTTGTTCCACGGTTTCTGAAAATTACAATCAATGCGTAGTGTGCAATTATTAAAAGGTATTGGCGTGTAATGCAGCAATTGGAGGAGGCACCATTGGAAGACAAGAGCATGTCAATCATAGAGGTGCACAATGTGATGCCTGCTGAGACTGAACAACAAGTCGAGGACGCGGACCCCATGCTTGTTGACCTGCCTGCAGTTGAAGCAACTCTGCCCCTTCCTGAAGCCAAAGTAACATATGGCACAAGGAGGCCCTGTTATGGGTGGATCGAAGAGTACGAAAGTGAATCCGATAACGAGGAACAGCCTGCCAGATTGATTTGTAAGAGGAAGCGTCCGAGTAGATGGGATGTTAAACCCATCAACTGGTGAGTTCTCGACATCTGATATCAGCTGAGCATACAGTATTGTAATTCAAGAGGTTATGAACTAATTTGGACAAGCTCCTTAGTTGCCTAATATAACCTCTTATTGCAGTTACAACTTACAATTTACAAGCATGTCAGTAAGGTTTATAAGCATCTTTAGCCACGTCTGCAGCTAGCATCTGATCTTAAGTCCTAACTAGGCTGTTAAGATCCTGGATTGTGATTAGATAGTTGTGACGAGTGATGCATGATAATTTCGGACAGGCAAAATCACGTAGCAATGTGCTGCTGAAATAAGTTTGTGGTGATCAATCTGTGACACTTTAGAAGCACTGCACACTTTTAATGCTGGCTAGTACTATTCAGTAAGACCTGAACTGTAGGTGTTCCATTTTTTTTTCCTATGGGTTGGTATTGTAAGGTACTGCCTCCGTTTCAGGTTATAAGACTTTCTAGCATTGCCCACATTTATATAGATGTTAATGAATCTAGGCACACATATGTGACTAGATTCATTAACATATATACGAATGTGGGCAATGCTAGAAAGTTTTATAATATGAAACGGAGGAAGTAGTTGTTTCAAAATTTCATAGATAGATGTGATGTGCAGTTTGTGTGGAAGAAATACTACTGATCTTTCACTGTGCGTGTTCCATTGTTTTGTCTTCCCACTTGTGTGGGGTTTAATTTTATAAATTAGAGCTGAGAACTAACCTTTGCCAATCCCTTTGTAAGCTTGTATGGATTGTGAACGAACCAAATGAAACTTCAGTCGCATTCCTATTGTAACCACTAATCGCCTCTTGTTGTTTCTAACAGATTATCTGAAAAGGAGGTGACAAGGCAATGTGGCTGCACAGGTGGTATGCTTAACCCTTGTTTTTGAGGCATTCTGGATGTGCTGATTTTTCATAAGTTTTGTATTGTACACAGCAGTAACAGTGGAAGTATTGATGCAATGTAGAGACTTTAGGTTATGCATGGTTGCATGCCAATTAATTTGCATGATGGTGTATGCAGACAGAGACATGATGGTTGATGTATGCAGAATCTATTCAAGTACTAATGTGGATTTTTCATTGATGCCTTCATAAATCATACTACCTCCGTTTCAAAATATAAGGAATTTTGGACGGATGAGACATTTCCTAAAACTATAAATCTGGACATAAATCATAATGTTATTTGGTTTTCCTGGCTGGATGTTGTTTGCATAACCTAGCCGTGGCACATGCTTTGAGCTGTGCCTTAGACAGAATGATCTGTTGACCGTAAAGCATAATACCAATACAGCAGGAGAAGAATGATTGTTTTCTTAAGCTTGAGATAGTTATGCCATAGAACAATTTTCTGTTTTCTTAAAGCTTTATAATTTTTCTGTGCATTTGGTTTGATGGAGTGTGAATGTGTGATAGCACGAAAGCCCTATTTCACCCAAACGCCCGAGCAAAGATAGCACGCGGGTTCGGAACTTGAATGACAAACATGGATGCTGAAATTGCCCTCTGAACTCTGAACCAGAAAAACAAAAACTTGGACAATTCTTTGAAATCAGACAAGGATTTGAGTCTTGTGAAGGCAACAGTGATTCTTTATGTTGGGCCAAAACGCATAAATTCCGTTGCCGGGACTCGAACCCGGGTCTCTCGGGTGAGAGCCGAGTATCCTAACCAGCTAGACTACAACGGATTATGACACAATAATTTTGTGTTAGAATAATTCCTCAGAAATTGGCATCTTTTCACGTTATTACCGACAAATGACTGTATCAGTCGACTGCAACAAGAAAATAGCTAAGATTGGCAGAAACAGACTAGCTTAGTTTTACATCGTTAGCTCAATCGACCCCGTGTCTGTGTTTTATTATACTATTGTCAAAAACATATGAACATTGTTAGCTCACTATTCGCAGCGAAAATGCGGATCAAACATAAAGTAGCGGTTTCTAGTATGTTTTAATAAATAGTTATGCACACTTGAACAGGTTGGCACATGTTACCAATGAAAAACACAAAACGTTGCTGTAGATGCTGAAATTCTAAGCAACAGTCGCTGTTGGCTGTTTGCCATCGAAGTTCAGAGTCTTTAGATAGACGTCGACACAAACTGCTCTCTATTTAGTCAAAGCATCAACAGCACAGAATACACAATTGGCCAAAATATAGGGGCACAAGTTGCTGTAGTACATCAATAGACTCCTAACACAAACCAAACCAATGTAATCTTAGTGTTGTATCAACAAAAAAGAAAAAAGGACAAGAAAATAAGCACTGCCCAAGCACCCAAAATCTCAACTTTCATCATCATTCTTGCAACTATACCCATGCAAGATCACAAAAGCACACCAGAAAGGACTTTACAAGACGCCATCCTTCGACAGATTTTTCCTTATATGCAGAAGGACAACAAGTATGACATCTCACCAGTTGATGAGTGCTGAAACATGAAGCATTGTGCTCAGTCAGTGCTTTCGCGAAGAACGGCCACTCCCTCCCTCGCTCACTCGCTAAATTTTCATCTCTAACATTCACACTCACTATATAGGCACAAGAAATTTACATCCAAAGACAGTCACCCTATGAACATATACTTTTTTTTTTTCGATCCCGTGGCTAAGTAAAATCGAAGCACGAAGGAGATCTCCTGGAGCTTTTAGCTGCATTGTTACCCTTGTGGAGGTAGTTAGCTGTGTAAACCGTGTCAGTCCATGTGGAGACGAAGAAAAAAAAGAAAAGAAAAGCCTTTTTCACATCACTCTTTGAGGTCTATGAGGAAGAAGCTGGGGTCTGGGTCGAGTCCTTGTCATCGTTTCGTCACTGTGTCGAATCATCTCGGACAATTTCCAGGGCTTTTGCCACTTCCACTTGAACTGCAGTAGCCACTGGTGGTGGCTTCTTTTCCATCTCCAAAGTTTTCCTGATTGCCCTGCTATTGAAACCTTCTTGCCAACAGGCAACTGTGCCATAGGAACCATCTGCATTGTACGTCACCAATTTTAAATACGAGAGAGGGAGATAGAACAAAGAGTATTTCAGGGGGGTAGAGATACCTTAAGATGTTGTTTGTTGAATGCAGGAACCCCTTTGCTGGGGCTATTTACAATTCCAGCAGAGTACTTCAGCTGCTTCTGTGCAGGCACCGCAACTGGTGACAATGGTGTGTTGGAGTCATCAGCAGAGTGCTTCACTGAACCATTTCCGTTTCCCTGTAAGATGCATAAAATTTCCATTAAGAACTATCACGATATTTGTTGAATATCTTGTACTCTTGTGACTATCAGTTAGGGATTCAAGTGACTCAATGTTTTTTTGTCAGTTCCATCTACTATACCCTATGATATGTTTTCTTCTTTTCGCCCTTTCAAGCAGGGCGTACGAGAGAATTTGAACATGGGTAATGGAGATGTTAAATACCCTCCTCACCACCAGATATTTGTTTTAGATGTTTAGGTAATCCTTTCATCATTCAACATTTTTTTCTACTGAGGGGTAATTGCTGTGAGCTCATAGAAACCATACTGGAGATGTAGTGGCAGTTACAGCTGCCTGCTCTCTTTGCTTAAGCTGCTTTTCCGTTTCCCTTCTACGTGATTCGCTGTGTCGAAGGATGGTCACAAGCTCTGTCATTTGCTCCTTCATTTCCTTGATCTCCATCTCTTTCTCCCTTACTTGGCATCTGATATTTCAACAGTGAAGGTTAGTTCCATACTTTTGTACAAATGATCATTTTTACAGAGTATCATAAAAACGGCTTTGCATTGTTCTTCCATTCACATTGTTGTCATGCTTTCAGGAAGAAATAAAGTTGCCCTTTGAGTTCAGAATTTTTTTTTTGTTATTCCTATTTTCAAATCAGTACCACACTCTTTTATTCGAATCAGTGCCATATTCTTAGCAAAATAACACTTACAGATTTTCAACTATTTAGAAAGAAAAAGTGAGATTTTTAGCTCTTTAGTAAAAATAATTTGTTTCCAGGTTCTGCAAATTGAGAAGTCCTACAAGGATGGATGCTACCATACTATTAAATAATGAAGCCAAAAGAATAAATACCAACCTTGCATCTGCAGCAACGTTAAATATATACTGCAGTAAACTCTTTGCCTCTGCCATTGAACGCAACTGATTCCACCGACCACGCCCAGAGAATGCACGCTCTCTTTCTTCAGCTTCTGAGAGTTGAGAAGCCATAGCAACGAGAGTATTTGAAGATATTGTCACCATGCTTTCAAGTGATGCTATCCTAGCTTGTCTTGCATTTGGTGACAAAGTATTTGCCCTGAGAAACAAAATGCAGCAATACAAGCATAAATATTTGGATGTGCTGATTGCACATTTTGAGAAAATATGAGAAATATAAAATACGGACCCAAATATAACAACCAGATTACAGACAAGGACATATTAAACGGTGCTCTTATATTTCTTAAACAGTTTGTGATAATATATGGATTAAAGATACTGTCCAGCTTAAAGGTACCTGAACTACAAAATAGAACTATGGGGATAACAGTTACCTAGAGTTTCCATTCTTCCCTCTGGGCGGACTAGCTGCACCAGACATGACATCTTCTTGTTTTAAAATGGCAAGCTCCTCACCAAGTGCAGCACGCCTTTAAAACCATTTAAATTAGTCATCATAATCATGCATTACATGAGGAATGATCTCTATAATTTACATTTGGGAAGGAAATAAAATGAATCACATACAATTGACTTTGCTTTTCATATTCGTTTCGAACTTCATGAACATGCACCATGACTTCCAAATCTTGCTCTAGCCATTTTTGCAATGATTTCTCAGTCATCTGCATTACAAAAAAAAGTATTCTCAAGGATATTTCCAAATAAGCAACTGATCTTTTTCTTTAAGTATGGAAAATAACTTACATGAGAGCCAGGAGAAGTACCATTCATGCCTGATGTGTTTGGAAGAAAGCAAAAAAAAAAAAAAAGAAAAAGAAGGAAGAGCTGTTAGATTGGGAGTATTAATTATAATGCGAAAAATGGTCGCAATGCGGAGAGAGATACCTGAGTTGTCACGTCCTGATGATTTCCGAGCCTCTAGTAACTCTTTCAGCCTTTTGGTAGCCATCGCAGCTTCTTCAGTCTTCCTCTGCAAAACCTGCATAAAGATGCAAAACTTTGATATTTAATATTTTATAAATAGACATGATAATATGAGGGAAAAACTTACACGTAATTATATAGCTAAGTAAGATATGAACTTTGACGAAAACTATGTCAGGGCAGCTAGTTACACATAAAGTGAAGCTTAGTATTTTAAGATAGTCCAAATAATGATAGTTTGGATAATGCCTACAATAAACTTATAATTTTTCCAAACTTTCACATTGACACTTTCTTTTCTTTGAAATACAATTCTACATAAGAAGCTTACCAACTTCTGCCGCTGATTAAGTGCTTGAAGTTTGTGGCGTTCATACTCATTTCGCCGCCCCTCTTTCCTCAACTGCATTCAGGAAACAGTAAGTGAGGTTTACTTCTCATAATGCTTACCACAAAAATAGTACAACAGAAACATTACATAAAAAGGGGTTAGAGATGAATCTCTAAGTAGATACGGTCACATCATTTTTACCCGTTCCTTGTTCTATATGAATTTAATTTAATGACATAGCAATTTTGCAGTTATTTGCTTTAACTGCATATTAAATTATTCATACCTGCAGGAGTTCCTTTTCACGGGTAGCCTTCCATTGCCGGAATTGTTCCGCTTCTTGTTTGATTTTATGTTGTAGTTGAACCTGATAATGGAACAAGGTTGGCAAAATTGTTATGACTTACGATAGTGTAAAATGTGATGCATTAGAACTTGACATGATGAGAAAGGGAAGACAACCTTCTGTGCCTTTATAGAATGAATTTCTTCCTGCAACTTCTTAGCAGCTTCATCACTCTTTTGCTTTTCCTTCAGAAGTTGAACTTGGTTCTCCTGCTTTTTCTTGAGGTCTAGAATCTGCAGGTCCAAGTCTTGTATGACCAACATGTACTGAACAACACGAACTGCATTCAAACAAATTATAAAGGTTTATTCACCTGTGCTTCAAGGGTTTTTAATTTTTGCAGCTGGGC